TAGAGAGGTGGTAAGAAAAGGAGGAGAGGTTGTAGGTTTAGGGGGAGGAAGGAGAGGTAAAGTGGATGAGGGTGGAGGCAAGGCGGGGACTGCCGAGTGTATCCGAAAATGTTTTGAGTATCTTTATTGTTTGTTGGTGTATATATATGCATCATTTGTATTTGTTGTTTTAATTGAAAAATTAATAAAAAAATTTATAAAAAAAAAAAAGGGAGTTAAAGCGCATTATGGATTTGGTTATTTATATAGTTGGTTAATGTTAGTTAGATTATGATTATTATATTTGTAACCCTGTATCCAGCTCTGGGAAGTGGGGGAGGGAGAGGGGGGGTTTAGGGTGGGTTGGTTTTGGGGTTTATATTGTAACTGTTATAAAACTTTTCAATTAAAAAAAAAACCTAAAACACATAGCAGTCAGGCATCCTTTAAGTATCTATCAACATAACGAGAAAAATAAGCTTTGCCACATATCCAGGACCCCAGGCTGGGTCCCAAAATTAAGTTTTTAAGGTCTTATGAAAGACCAGTAAGAACCTGGTCAATCTAATCTCAGATAGACAGTGATCCAAAGAACTCCCCTTCTAGGTCCCACCAGTCAACCCTTTTTAGCTGACATTATCCATAGCATGATCCTCCTGCCTCCTGTATGAGAGGTAAAGATAATTGGGGAACATGGTCCCGTAACTAACCTAGTCACAAGCCATGACGATCTTTAAAGGTAACAACCACCACCATGAATTACACTTGGAAATACAGTGAAAGCCAATGCAGCTTGCAGGGCAGTAATGTTACATGCCCTGAATAACTGGTGCCATTAACTGTGTTGCTACATTGTGCACCAGTTAAAGCTTCTGAATATTCTTCAAGAGCAGCCTCATATAAAGCACATTGCAACAGTCTAGAGATTATGAGGTCATGTGCAGGGCATCCCGGTCCAGGAATAAGTCCAACTGATGCACACTTCAAAGTTGTACAAAAGCCCTCTTGGCCACAGTTGCCACTTGCCCCTTTTGTATTATTTATTGAATTTATTGAATTTATTGAATTGTAGAGACACAAGTGCAGGAGGATCCTCAGATTGCATACCAGGTCTGTCTGGAGTGATCCCATCCAGAACGCTGAGTATTTGACTATTTGTGATCTATACTTAGATGGCTGTATGGTTACTACAGCTGCAGAAATTTAGCATCCATCCCTGCAGTAATTTGAAGTTATCTAAAGTAGAAGACAAGTAGAATGAGCTATATAAACTCATCTTTTCCAACTATGCTACATTATTTATATTACTATCAAAAATGTAATAAAATTAAAATCTTAACCAGATATTATTTCAACTTTTTACCTTTTGATTGCATTCCATACTTTAACTCCATCATCCCGATAGTAGTAGTATGGAATATCCTCACTGCTTTCCATATGTCTTGATTTGATTTCTTCAGGAAAGCAGAGAGAGCTGTAGGTAAGATGTTTCATTGCTCGCTGGACCATTTGCACATGCCCACCTCCTCCAGTGGCATTTGCCTTTAGCAACCAAAACAAATAATATAGGTCATTAAGAAAAACACAGTTGAGAAAGACCTCACATTCCTAAGATTAGTAGGTCATACAGAAGGATGCAATGATGCAGCTTGGCCACATGCAGTCGTGATATAGTTAAGGACTTCTGTATGTGTGCTGCTCAGTGCTTTTTTTTTTTTTTTAAAGGTGCCAGAACCTTTTGTCATACAACCCGCCTTGCCTACCCTACAAGGTTCCATCCAAAAAAGGTGCCGGAACTCCGTTCTGGGCGTTCTATGAGAAAAAAAAGCCCTGGTGCTGCTCCAGTTTCCATGTAGGCTTGTTTTCATATTAAAGCTTTAGCCACTCAACTTCCCCATATTTTCCAAAGAAACCTTACACACTATTTACACTACGGAAAAAAAACATTTAGTTACTTAATGGGTGGGTTTTTCTCTCTCCTGTAGGAAATAATGAGCTGCTCCCCAGTTCTATTAATATATGTAAATATGGAAGCTAAAATTGGTGCCCACCAGTCAGGATGTTATATTGAAATTCAGGGGGGATTAAATAGTCCCCCTGAGGCTTGTTGTTGTAGAATGAAACAAAAAAAAATAGCCCATCCTATTGTTATTGTATGAAGCTGCTTCAACTGTTGTCAACCCCCCTAAAGAAGCTCACAGTGATAAAACCAAGATTCTCAGAGATTAGAAGAGGTAGATTTGTTGAAATGAGAAAGGATTACAAAATCTTGAAAACTAGATGTGCCTTCATTTATGTTAAGGCATGTTAAGGTTTGTTTCGCATTACCATTAATCTTCTTTCTAAGTCTTGATTTAATGGAGAAGATGTTAATTGCTTATTTGATACAAAAAAAATTGATATCAACTGTTCTTGTTCTGTAATATTTTAGAATAGAATAGAGAATAGAGCTGGAAGGGGCCTTGGAGGTCTTCTAGTCCAGCCCCCTGCTCAAGTAGGAGAACCTATACCATTTCAAACAAAACATTTTGTAAATGTTTTCCTTCCCTGGATCAGAAAATTCTATAATAGCTGCCTTACAGCTATATGCTTAAAATGTAATTGCCCTTGCAATGTCGAGGGAAAAGAAAATGGCTTTGAGGGACAGAAGGAAGATCTGCTACAAAGGCAATAATGGAATAAAAGGATCTTGTATGTAATGTTAAGTAATCATCTCAGACAAACTCTTTCTTAGTTCACACAAAGATGAAGTTGTAAGGGACTTGCAAGATTTTGTTGCTATAGCTTTACAATAAAAGTAGTATTGACTTACATGGAATTGGTTTCCCAGTCTGATCTATTTTGAAGAGCTGACATGCTCTTTCAACTGGAATGTTGGCAGGTGACTTTGACTGATTTTTCCTGTCCAGAGTTCAGTGAAAGTTTGGGGAGTTCAAGACATTATGGGGGATTTCTAAGGAGGAAAATGATGAACTAGACATCTCTGAAAGAGTGTAGATGATACTGTGGCAATAACTAGCAGCATGTTCTTAACTAGCAGCATGTTCTGTCCAATGGAACCTCTCTGGACAAGGCGAGGATGAAGGATTACCCACATGTTCCAGATGGCTGCTCCGTGTGAGGAGACAGCAGGATACTAAACACCTCATGGGTGTTCCAGGAGATGAGGGAAGCCATCAAACTTTTAATCAGGGTGGAGCCTTTAAGGACACTGGGTTTGTCTATCTTACTTTCTAATCGCTTTTGAATTTATAATTATTTTACAGTTAAAAGAGGTCCTCCAAACAATAAGTTTGAAAACTATCTGGTGAGTAAGATTTCATCTCAAAATAGAAGAAAAGCTAAGTTTAAATAATTTAAAGAATGTAAAACAAATGGAAAAAGCTAAATTACAATTTAATTTAAGAAAGTTTTAAGCATATTGGGACCAGATGAATTTAGAAAATTCTTCTGAAAAAATGAGTAAACAAAATAATATTTCCATGGGAACATAAATTGTTTAATCTATTATGAATGAGATAATTGACTGAAAGTTCAAAATAAAACAACGAATAAACTTAAGTATGAGAATATAAAAATGTGATATTAGAAGGACTAAGGTTCCAGGCAGGAATAAGAAAGGTGAAATTTACAAAATGACAAAGGTATGTCGCTTGAGAAATTTCAAATGATTTTTGAAGAATTGGAAGATAAACCAATAAATAAATTGATAGTAATAATTTCTATACTTCTAAATGTATTTTTGGAAGATTATAAAGAAAAAGTAAAAGATGTGGCAGACATTAATATGGAAGAATTTATGGATAGATAGACAGAATGAAGAGGAGATACAAACTCTAGCTGATGTTTAAAGCCAAGGTATTAGGAGCACAAATGGTATTCCATTTGTATTTCCAATGGAAAATCAACATCCAATGAGGGAACAGAATTTTTTAGTAGTAAACCACTGGCTTAAGGGCGCTGTTAAGAGAATTTCAGATTCCAAGACTACAATCTACATTACCTATATGAAAGGCTTCTGGCAAGGGATCGGCTGCACCTCACAAGGACGGAACTAAAATCAGTGGGTTAAAACTACAAGGAAGTAGGTTCAAGCTACATGTCAGGAGGAACAATCAACCAGTAGAATGGATTGCCCATAAAAGAATGAGTTTTAATTTGCTGGAGGTCTTCAAACTTCTAGGCAATTATCTGTCAAAGTTGCTCTAGTGGATTCTGCTCTAAATAAGTCAGACTAGACAATCTTTAAAATAATTTTCAACTCAGAGAGGGAGGGGGGAGTTCAGTCTCTTTATAATGCTATCCTACCTCTCTGGAGCTAAAAAATGTATTCAGGTAAAATGGACGGGTGGGAAGAACTACATGTAAGATTTTTTCTTATAGTTTGGATAAGAGTTAAGATTTTGTCAGGTCCCTGTCGGAATGCTGTCATTCTGAAGGGAGGGGGGATGTTACTAGGGGATTAATGCTTTTGCTTTCATGTATCTGTATGGGAACTAGGGAGGGAGGAATGGGCCATCAGGGCCATCTGGATGGATACCTTTCCAGTCAACTCCCCCCCCCCCCCGTTATCAAGGTNACCCCCCCCCCCCCCCGTTATCAAGGTCGCAGGGCCAGGGAACGACTTGTTATCACCTTCTCATCTCGGAGTTCTCACAATACCTTCATGCCAGTGAATTGGCTCCTGATGGACTGGGGCATTGGGTTGGGGTTTGAACAATGGAAAATTAGCTTAACAATTTTCACAGGAGCTTCAGATTCCACCGGGCTTCCCTACAATCACTTTCTCTCAGTAAAATATCCTTCTGAAATAACGCTTGTTTCAAGAGTCATGCTTTCCTGAGAAGATAGCTGAGGCAGGACCTTACAAATTTCCTGTTATCCTCCAGAACTATGGAAGTGGCATCATCTTGTGAGTGTGCTTGTGTGTGTGTGTGTGTGTGTGCGCGCACACACACACACACTTTCAAGTCAATCTTGATTCCTGAAAACTGCCTGGAGAGGTTCATTTTTCCTGGCAAGGTTATTTGGAGGTGATTTGCAATTGCCTGCTTCTTAGGGCTGAGAGAAAGTGATTGGCCCAAGGTCATTCAGCTGGCTTTCTGGCTAAGGTGGAACTAGAACTCATGGATCTTCTGATTTATAGCATGATGCTTTAACCTCTAGACAAATTGGCTAATCTTACCTTGTCAAAAAGTCCATATTCACAGATAAGTTGCTCTCGAGCTTTGGTGTTTATAGCTATTGTAAACCGTACATGAGGTATCAGGAGCTAAGAATGAGAAAAAAATAGATTACTGGATGAAAAACTTTTCATAACTTCATAAATATTACCATAAAAGTTAGAAATGGCTTTGTAGTGAGCAAGGCTGAGTCTATAAGATAGTACTTTTTTCAAACTTTTCTCCCAAAAAGCATTTAAAAGAAGCTTAGTACTTCTTAGCTCCCAACCATCTATCTTCCAAAGAGGCATTTCATTTAGTGTCCTTCCCATTAATCTCTGGTGTGTTTGAGACAGAGAGCTCACAAATCCTACTGCTTTTCTGATGAGTAAAAAAGGTACAAATAAAAAAGTTGAAATTACTGACTGTACCAGCTACCAGCCACTTACTTCAGAGCCTGTTGAAAATGATTGTAAGGACCCACCTCAATCCCTCTTCCTAAGAAAGCAGAACTCCTGGAACGACTTCATTCCAAAAGGAACTTTTATTAGAAGTTGACAGCAGGCATAGAAGGCAGGATCTGATGGTTTCCCATGCGAATCAATAGGTTAAAGGAGTATTTAGCAAACCCCAACCCAATAGTCTATCCCTGCAGTTCAAACAGGCCAATCTCCAGGTATGAGTGGGAACGGGGCTGATTAGATGTATGTTTCCAAGGTTGTTAGGCCATTAGGTCTTTGCGCCTCTTTTTCCGCAGCCAGAGATATGCCAGATGGCCAGAGATAAGACAGATGGCCAGAGGTGCATTCAATTCTCACCCCAGGCTGGCATCAAGAAAAATAGTTCAAAGAGCAGGCAGATAGAGGGAAGTGGAGAGGATACATTGTAGCAGCTATAGCTAAGCAAAGTAGATACATTGTAGCGCCCATGGCTTCCCCCCTCCCCCACGAGCATGGCAGAACCCACAGGAATAAAGAATAAAAGAAACACTCCTCAAACCCAACATTTGGGTTCTGACATGCCGCCCCCCCTTAAAAAAATGAGAGATCCACCTGTAGAGGAAACAAAAAAGGAGAGGAAATATATACGGGTTAGTCTGGTTTGTCAGGATATTTAGTATGAAATTTACTAAGTAATCTTGGGGCTCTGACATGTCGCTTGTGGACCCATTCATTTTGGGAGCAATCTGCTTTGAAAACAAGTCCGTCAGTACCCAAATGACATTATTTTCCCCACTTTCTGGTAGTTCCACAATAAAGTCCATAGAAATCTCCCTCCAGGGTGCCGACAGGGTGGCTACTTTTGCAATAGTCCTGGGGTTTTCTCTTGCCTTTGATTAGCCACTGCGCAAACGGGACAGCTAGCTACATAGTTTTCAATGTCCTTTTTTATTGAAGGCCACCAAAACTGCTGCTTCACTAGGTGGCGGGTTTTCACGAATCCAAAGTGCCCAGCTGTTTTGGAGTCGTGGCAGAGGTGCATGAAGACTAATCTCTGGCTCTTTGGAATGTAGCATTTTCCCCCTATCCAAGGTAGGCCATCATTCATTGTGCATAGATTCTTATGGCTTAGAAACCATTCATCTTTTTCTAATGCTTGGCTGAACTCCACTCCTGCCGAGCTTACTAGTGATTTGGGATTTTTTTTTGCTTGCGCTCGCGTAGTGACTAGTTGCTTTGATGGTATGAGTAGGTCTGCTATCTCAGTCTTTGTGCTATTGTACTGTGGTAATCATGACAGTGCGTCTGCCAGGACGTTTTTCCCCCCTGGCAAGTGTTTGATAGTGAAATTGAACCGATGGAAATGCTGAGACCATGTCGCCTGTTTAGGGGACAGTTTCCTGGGTGTTTTTAAAGCCCCTAAGTTCTTATGGTCAGTCCATACTTGGAAAGGGATTTTGTTTCCTTCCAGGAAATGTCGCCAGATTAGGAGGACCCAACAAATGGCATAAGCTTCTTTCTCCCACACTACCCATCTTTGCTCGGTTTCTGTGAGTTTCCTTGATGTATATGCACAGGGTTGCAACTTCCCTTCATCGTTCTCCTGAAGCAGTACCACCCCCACCACCACATCACTGGCATCTGCCTGAATGATGAAAGGTCTTTCGGTGTCTGGGTGTTTTAAGACCGGTTCCACTGAGAATAGTTTTTTCAGTTTCTCAAAAGTGGCTTGGCACTCCAAAGTACATTTCAGTGGTTGGCTGGGCTTCGGTTTCCCCTTCCCTTTGGTTTTTAGTAGATTTGTGATGGGTAGTGCAATTTGAGCGAAAGAGGGGATGAATTGACAATATAAGTTAGCGAACCAAAGGAAGCTTTGTAGTTGTTTCCAGGTGTGGGACAGAGCCTATTCTAACACTGCTTGGACCTTCTCGGGGTCCATCTCTATGACTTTTGGAGATATATGATATCTTAGGTAATCAATTTTCTCCTTGTGAAATTCACATTTGGATAGTTTGGCATACAGGCGGGTGGTTCGTAACTTATTTAGCACCTGTTTGACATGCTCTTCTTTGGTTTCCATGAATATCAGGATATCGCCCAAGTAGACAAGCACCCTTTTATAGAGGTGCTCCTGGAACATTTCATTTATCAAATGCATGAATACGGCAGGTGCCCCTTGTAGTCCGAACAGAAGCACTCTAAACTGGAAATATAGCAAGGGGCAATTGAAATCCGCTTCCCACTCATCTCCTTCCTTAATTCTGATTTGGTAGTATGCCTCCCGTAAGTCCAATTTTGAAAAAAAATTCCTCTTTGCTAAACGTGATAGCATGTCTTTCATTAAGGGGAGTGGGTAGAGATTACTCTCGCTAACTGCGTTGAGAGATCTATAATCCATGCAGGGGCTGCCGTTTTGGGCTTCGCTGGTTGTATGAACCCTCTCGCTAAATTTTTGTCTATAAATTTCTGTAATTCCTCCAATTCCTGAGGGGTCATGGAGTACATTTTCGGCTTCGGCAATTTCGCCCCCAGCAAAAACTCAATAGCATAGTCTGTGGGACGGTGGGGGGGTAATTCGTCGGACCTCTCTTCACTGAACGCTTCAGCTAGACCCTGATATTCCTTGGGTATGCCTTCCAGCTTCCCATTGCTCACCACTGCCACACTTTCTGGACCCCTGGTTCCCTTTTTGGCTCGGGCCACTCCCTTTGCACTGTAAACCCCTTTCAGGAATCTCAGCTCTCCAGTTCTCCAGTCTACTCTCAGGTTCCATTTTGTTAACCACACCATTCCTAAAATAAGCAGGCACTCCATTCCAGGGGTCACCACGAATGTTATAATCTCTATGTGGTCCCCTATGGTGAGCTGGATGGGCTGTGGCGAGGGTGGCTGGGATTCCCCCTGCAATGGACCCATCTAATTGGCCAAACAAAATTGGCTTCTTCAACCTCCTTACCGGGATTCCTAAATTCCCCACCAGGGTTGAGCTTATGAGGCAGTGGGTGCAGCCTGAGTCTATCAGGGCTCTTAACGAGACCTTCTCCAGCATCCCTGGGTTAAACAGTTCTACAGTTCTGGTGAGGGGCGCGATGGGTCCATTTACCAGGGGTTCGTCCTCCAAGCTGTCATCAGAGGATTCAGGTGGCTTCCCGGTTGGGGCTGGAGTTCCTCCCCCCTTGGTTGATGGGGTTTGGACCTCAACAACCTCCATGCTCTTCACGGTTGTTTCCTTCAGTCTCTGTGGCATTTTCCCAGGCTTTCCCCCTCCAGCTCAGTCAGGCTTCCTCACCAGGGTCTTTGAACGGCACTCAGCTGTGTGGTGTCCCTCTTTCCCAAACTTGAAACAGGTTGATATCCTCGGAGAAGCGGTGGGTTGATTTGCCTGTTCCCGAGCTCCTTCTGCAGGGAATCGTCCCCAGGACTGTCCAAGGTGCCGTTGTCTCCGAGCTCTATCGATTTCAGCTTCTTCGGCCAAATTGTACCAGTTGTGGAGTCGGTCAGGATCCCCCTGGGGAATGCAGGCATAGTACAGATCATCATTTAGTCCATCTTTAAAATGGCCCACGAGGACTTCTTCCAGCCAGTTGAGTTGGCTGCCTAGGGCTCGGAATTCCTCTGTGTACTTCGCCACAGAGCAACGGCCCTGTCTCACCGTCTTTATGCATTCTCTAGCTTTCCGATCTGCCAAGGGATCCTCAGGGCAGCCATGAAGTGGTGGAAATTCCGCAGTTCCGCAGCATTGGCATCGTGTAGGGTCACCATCCACTCATCCCCAATTTCTAAGGTTCCCCAGTGCACTTCACCGCCAAAAGTAGGAATTTCCATCTGGACCAGGGCTTCTCCTCTGCCTTTGTTGATGCCCATCTCCGTCGGCCAGTGCGGCTCATACAGGGGTGGCTGCCACTGTGGTTGCAGCCTCTGAGGTGGTAGTGGAGGGGCCTGGGTTCACCACTTCACTTTCTGCATCACCTTCTTCTTCTGCTGGTCCAGGCTTTGAGGTGCCCTGGCACGGGGCAGTTTTCTCCTCCTTGAGGGAGTTGAAGGCAATTCTCAGCATGTCGATGGCTTGCTCTAGGAACCAACTCGAGCAGGCCAGTCTCTCATCTTGGTCCTCGCTGAGGCGGAGCGACCTCTCCATCTCTCATTTCCAGCCTGGTTGGTGACTGCCCCATTTGAGAGTCACTTTCCTCGCCTTCCAATCCCAGTCCTCCTTCTTCCCAATGCCCATTGACCACCTCGGTTTATTCCAGTTCTCAGTGGCCACATCTTCGTCGGAGAAACTGGGCCACTTTGGCCCACTTTGGGCCACCTGGAGGGAAACTTCCTCCTTCCCCATGGTGCCTTCTTCCTTCTCCATGCCTAAATCCAACATCATTTGCATGGTCCCCGTGGTAAGGGTCTACCTTCTGGGCTGACCGAATTCTGCAAATCCTGCCTAATGTAAGGACCCGCCTCAATCCCTCTTCCTAAGAAAGCAGAATTCCTGGAACAACTTCATTCCAAAAGGAACTTTTATTAGGAGAAGTTGACAGCAGGCATAGAAGGCAGGATTTGAAGGTTTCCCGCACGAATCAATATGTTAAAAGAGCATCTAGCAAACCCCACCCCAATAGTCCATCCAGTCAGTTCAAATGGGCCCATCTCCAGGTGTGAACCCGCTGTGGGAACAG